TCTTTCACTCCACCATCTTGGCTCCACCTACTGTAATTTATTTTCAATATACCCCATGTCATGTTTATTTTTTATCTTTCATTTTGCTTCTTGGAAATTACAGAAGTTTGCTTTTATAAATTTAATTGGAATACATATTTTGTTCTATTTTAAAGGGGACTGAAAAAACAGAATTCAGAGGTCATGCAAGTACAAAAAGTAATTATGTTTGTCTAATACATTAGCAACTTCATAAAGTCAGTAATTGTGCAGCATTTTTTACATCTTAAATCAGACCAAAGACAGCCTTAAAATGTGCATGTATGTATAAAGGTCATTCACCTACTGACATTGTGGCTCAATGTAGTAATTATAGTAATTATCTTCCCCACTCCAGGTGTGTGTGTATGTGTGTGTGTGTGTGTGTGTGTGTGTGTGTGTCTGTTTCTGTCTGTATCTGTGTCAGTCTGTGTGTCTGTGTGTACATGTCTCTGAGAGAGAGAGAGGGAAAGATAGAGAAAGAGAGAGACAGGAAGAGGGAGAGTGAGAGGGAGCAAAAGAGATAGAAAGAAAAGAAAGAGAAAGGGGAGGAGGGAGAGAGGGAGGGAGAAAGGAAGGGAGGTAAGGAGGAACTCTGGCACCTCTCTGTTGAGAACATTATGAGTTTCTGGTAGAAGCTACTTTATATGGGTTGATGCTGCTGCAGCAGAGTAGACTGCCAGTCCTCTTTCTCTATTTCCTTATCAATAAAGGCCAGACTTCAGTGGGAAATAGAAAAAGATGCAGTGTATGGGGCTGGGGTCTGTACCAGTTCAATGACAATTGCAAGATGAGAGACTAAAGTTCCTGGGGCATCATCAGTCCCACTAGGGCCACAGAAGTCATAAAGTCAAAAAGGATGCACTTTACATGGAGATCATCTCCTGAATTGGTGTGAATAGATGCAAACTGAACAAGGGTGGAGAGGTGACTAGGAAAGGTAGCTGTAACAAAGGTGGAGGTGAGGGCAACAGTAACTACTAGGAGAAAAACCTAGTATATGGAGCCTTATGGAACAATCTCTGGGATCAGTCCAACACTGGCTCTAAAGGGCTGATGGAAAGTGATAATCAAGGGACCAACCAGCAAGCACTTATTTATAACAATAAAAGATGGACAGGCACTGGAGATTCAAAGACAAAAAAAGAAGAGTCCTCACCCTCAAGGACCTTATGTTCTATCAGAAGTGACAACATACATACATATAATAGATACAAGATAATAAAGCAGAAGGAAATCTGGAAAAGTCTTACTTGCAAGAGTAAGTTTGAGGCTTACCTTACAGGAAGTTAAGGATTCTAAGAGAGAGAAGTAAGAAGGGAGTGTATTCCAGGCATGGGAGACAACCAGTGAAAAAGCTTGGAGTTAGGAAATGGAATGACATATATGAAAAATAGAAAGAAGGCCAATTTAGGTGAAGTGGGGGTTCACAAACTCTCACAACTGAGGTGCACAAAGGGTAGTAAATGTAGACTAATAAGGCTAGAAAAGTATGTTGGAGCCAGGTGAAATGCTTTAAATGCCAGAGGACAATGATACAGTGAATTGGGAAATTATTATAGAAGATTGCTACTGACTGGAATGGATATCAAGATATTTAGAAAGATACAAAAATGACAGTGGAAAATCACAAAAAGAGATGGTTTGCTTAGTTTCAGAGTTTGTCATAGTTTTGTATTACAGAGCAAAGATTGAAGTACTGAAGCTTCATATCCTAAATAGATCTTAGGTATTCTATGTGAGTCATTGGTCCAAGTCTCTTAAGAACTTCATTATTCTGAATAAATGTGACTTCTGAATTGGTCCAGGCTTTAACTCCCCTAAGAGCTTCCACAGTTGAAATAAAAGAAAATGGAAGAGAGTAAAGGACTGGATTTGCAAATAAGGCGATCCTTCAGTCAGCCAGGAAACATTTTTAAGAGCTATTCTGTGCTAGGCTGTTTACTTAGCACTTGAGAAGCAAAGAGATAAAAGATAGTCCATGCCCTTAAGGAGCTTAGAATCTAATGGAGGAGACAACAAGCAAACAAATATGTAGGCACAAGCTATCTAAAGGATAAATAGGAAGTAATTAAAAGAGGGAAAGGCTTAATGAAGAGGGTTTAAGAAAGACTTCCTATAGAAGATTGGATCTTAGTTAGGATTTAAAGTAAGCCAGGAAAGTCAGCAAGTAAATATGAGGAAAGAGAATATTCCAGGCATGGAGGACGGCCAGAGAAAATGCCCAAAGCCAAAAATGGAGTGTCTAGTTTGTGGAACAGCCAGGAAGCCACTGAATCAAAGAGAGCATGGAGATAAGTGAAGTTAAGAAAACTGGAAAGGTGGGAGGGGGATAAATTATGAAGGACTTTGTATTTTGTATTTGATCCTATAGGCAATAGGGAAACACTGAAGTTTATGGAGTGGGGTGTGTGTGTGTGTGTGTGTGGTGTGTGTGTGTGTGTGTGTGTGACATGACAGGCCATGAGCTTTTGGAAAAATCACTTTGGCAACTAAATGAAGGATAGGTTGGAGTGGGAAGGGATGTTAAGGCAGATATATCCACCATTCACCTGTTAACAGTGGTCCAAGTGTGAATTGATGTGAACCTGCTCCAGAATGCTGGTAGTATCAAAGGAGAGAACGGAGCATATTTGAGAGATGTTGCAAAGGTGACATCAACGGACATTGGCAACAGATGGTATTTTGGTAGAGAGAGATATTGAGGAATCTAGGTTTGAACGTGAAGGATTGGGAGGCTGGTATTGCTCTCTACAATAACATGGAAGATAAGAGGTGGACAGAGTTTAGGAGGAAAGATAATGAATTTGGTTTTGGACATTTTAAGTTTAAGATATCTACTGGACATCCAGTTTAAGATGTCTGAAAGATAGTTGGAGATGCAATATTTCAGTTCAGCAGAAAGGCCAGCATAGATAGATTTGAGAATGATCAGTATAGAGATAAAAATTAAACACATGCAAGCTGATGAAATTACCAAAAGAAGTAATATAGAAAGATAAGAGAATAGGGCTGAGGACAGAACCCCATGAGTCACTTCATCCTCATCCAGAGGAGGAGACAGCAAAGGAAATTGAGAGGGACTGATTAGATAGGTACTAGGAAAATCATGAGACAATAGTATTGAGAGAGAAAGAGAGAGGGAGATGGTAATCAATAGTGTCAAAGGCAGCAGAGAGTTAGAGAGTTCAAGAGTTCAAGAAAAGTGAGGATAAAGAAAAGGTCATTGGATTTGGGAATTAAGAAATCATTGGTAACTTTGGAAAGAGTAGTTTCAATGGAATGATAAACTTACAAGCTGAATTGTAAAGCCTTAAGAAGAGAATGAGTGGAGAGAAAGAGGAGGCACATATTGTAGAGGGTCTTTTCTAGGAGTTTATCTACAAAGCACAAATGAGATAGAGAATGATAATTATCAGTGATAGAAGGAGCTGAGGGAGAGATGGCCATATTTGTAGGCAGTAAGGAAGGAGCCATTAGATAAAGAAAGACTGAAAATAAGTGATAGAATGGGGATGACAGCATTTGGGGAAAATAGAATATAAATGCCAGAAAAATTGAAGTAATTAAGTTTTAGTCATATGTAATATGTAGATTGACCATGGTGCCCTCATTCTATCTGTATATCAGATGGCCACTTGTCACATATGGTCTGTAAGGTATCTTTTTAAATTTTGTGTATATTTTATAAGGCTATCTCTGACACACACTGGCTGTGTGGTCAGGGCAACTCTAAGCCTATAAGTTTCAGAGCAATAGATTACCTTAGAAAAGTTAGTTTCTTCACAGAGTTCCCTAGACACTTGAAATCAAAGGTTTATATCTTTCCCTAACCCTAAAAAATAACTATAAATATTCAATAATGTCTTATTTGACATTTCTGTTTATCTTTATTTTCATCACCCTATTTACAAAATCAGCTAATGAATATTCATTCACAGTTGTGAAATTTTGATAATACATATTTAAAATTATTTAAGAGCAAAGAAATTCCTGTGCAATTGTGATAATTTATACCTAACTATACAAACTGAATTTCACTAAGGATTTAAAGCTAGAAGTGATTTTGTTGTTCAGTCATTTTTCAGTCCATCCCACTCTTCATGACCTCATTAGGGATAGCAAAGATACTGGAGGGGATTGAGATTACTTTCTCCAGCTCATTTTATAGATGATGAAACTGAGGAAAACAGGGTCCAGCGAATTGCCCAGGGTCACAAAGCTAGTAAGTGTTTGAGGCCAGGTTTGAACTCAGGAAAATGAGTTTTCCTGATGTCAGGGTTGGCACACTATCTACTGTGCTACCTACCTGTCCCTCCTTACTTAATGCCCATTTTTTTCACCTCCAGGTTGAAATATGAAATTCATGAATTTAGATGCAATTTTGACAAATGTAAATATAAATAAATTGTTTGAAATAATTCATTTTCATGAGTAGTACAGTAAGTGTTTTGAGTTCAAAGAGTGATTACCATGGACTCTGAAGTTTTTTCTTTTATAAAATATTAAATTCCTTTTGTTTTTACTGATTTATTTTAGAATATATGAACTCAAATAAACTACATTATATACTTACTGAAAAAGGTTAAAAAATAATGTTTATGACCCATAATATATGCTATATATGCTTTTGTAAATTATCTTTCTTTAGATTATGTGATACTGTGTGTTTTAACTTTAACAAGTAACAAAAGGTAAGAAAAACAACTTCTACTGTATTTTTGTTACTGTTTAGTTTTGCTACTGTATGGTATAATTATTATTTATATAGCTGGGTCAATATACATTCTTCATATATATGATTACTTTTCTCTACATCACTTCATACAAGGTTTCCACAATTAAAAACATTCTTCATATTTCCATTCTTTAAATCTGTAGCTGCTTTGCAAATAGAAACAAAGTATAAAACACATAAAACTTTAAGTCCTTACAACTTTTTATATAAATTATGGAAGATAAAATTTTATTGTTATTTTTAGGTGTTTTAAATGTTTATCTGCGTTTAAAAGGACAGACTACAATAGAAAATCCATTATGGTCTTCAAGTGGAAATAAAGGACAGCACTGGAATGAGGCCCATGTTAATATATATCCAATCACTTCATTTCAGGTAAGGAAAGAATAGTCATTCTCAACAATCGATTGAAGAATAAAGATAGGTAAAATCCTTTTGCATACACTAAAGAAATAGCTGCTAGTTGTCCCTGATATAAATATTATAAATATTTATATTTGCTATTTTGAAAAGTTTCAAATGAATACTAAAATGCAAAGGCATAGCTTCCCCCTTTTTATTAAAAATGCCTTTCATTATTTAAACATTATATTTAAATGTGTGTGTTATAATCAAAATTTGAATAGATTTAGAAGATAGCATCAATTTATAAAACATGATGCATAACTTGAATTGTGACTGTTCCTATTATACTCCCCATTCCACTTTGCTAAATGGTAGGCTAACTCTTATAATATTAGAAAATGGATAATAATTTTGAAGTCATTTATTTTAATTTTGCTTACATAACTGTTTTCTTTTGCAAATCACCCATCTTAATACTGGAAGTTCTATATTTTTATGCAATGCTTTGTTTAGAATACAAAATAATGTCAACTATTCACCAATGTAGCAATAATCTGGGGTCAACCTCAAATAATATGCCTCAGACATTTTAGAAAGCACAGAGAAAATGTCTTAATTCAGGATAAGGGGCAAAAATAACTGCAAAATAACTAGGTAATGGCATCATTAACTTTAGCAAAAAAAAATTCAGAATAAATTAATTCCATTACATTTTATCACATTAACTTTGACAATTTCCAGCCAATAGTACCATCTTTCCATATCATAAATGGCACATTTCAGTACATTTGTCATTTGTGTAGGAGGAATTTCATATTAGGAGAAGGAAGATAATTTATTTTCCTATGATCAAATTTTGTAATTGTGACTTCTGATACCTCCAGATAACTTTCTCCTAAAAAAAATATATGTCTGTTGATGCTTAATTTACAAAAAAAGAAAAATAACTAAGTTATTAATAGATTTTAACTTTGAAAATATAATGATCTTACAGCTGTATTTTTGTTTGCTTCCTGACCAACTCTAAAACCTAAACTTACGAAGCCAAATAATTTCAAGAATTTATAGGTGGATGTAAGAAAATATACATACATATATACATATATTTATACATATACATACACATATTATGTATATATATATGTGTGTGTGTGTATATATATATATATATATATATGCATACATATGTTAACATGATTTTTACTGAGCCAGTCTCTAATTTGGAGTGTTCAGAGCCACATAAAGCAGGCCTAGAGACTGGAGTGCCAGTAATCAAGTAATTGAATTAATCAGTTTCAGAGTGAAGAATGTTCTCTTTGCTGAAGTAAAAACACAGGTTATGTATTTAGATCACAAGTCAGGAAGAAGGGGGAGAAGGTGGATTATAAACAATAATTTAGTGGTTTCCAATGAGAAACCCATAAGTCTCACAAAACAGTAAATTATGGAGTCAAGTCTTTGGGAGTTGTGACTACCTCGCCTAAAGTACAGAACCAGAGTTCTGTGATGGGAACAGGTTCTTCAATCTTTGATTCACTTCATTTAAGGTCCAGTGATTGTGAGTATTGTCAGAGTTTTGATTAATTAGTTTAAGCTGCATTGTGAGCTCTGACTCCCAAGCCAGAGAAGCAGCTCTTGAAAAAACTAAATTATTAGTATATTCATTACACATATCATATTGATTAATATGAAAATTGTAAATTCCCTTCTCACATACAATACACACACACACACACACACACACACACACGTGTGTGTGTGTGTGTGTGTGGTGTGTGTGTGTGTGTATTCCATTTACATTGATTGGGGGACAGAGCCAAGGCCATAAGGGCAGCAACCCAACTAAACTCTCCCAACATCCCCTTTCAAACAAGTTTAAAATAATGCATAAGATTGAATTCTGGAGTTGCAAAGGTGAAAAAAGATCTGAATGAGATATTTTCCCAACCCAAGATAATTTAGGAGGTCAAAAAGAGAGTTCTGTGACACTGGGGTGGATTCTGCCCCAGAACATATAAGGTAGCAGCAAAAGCAGCAGAGGGCCTTGGAGGGAGCTGTGAGAGTAGCATCAGCAACTTCAGGGCCTCTCATCCCAGTGATGGTAAGGGAGTCAGAAAATTGGTCAGAAAGAAATGACATTGAACCCTTTGCAGGCACTGGGCACAGGACACTGTTGAATTTCCTATTAATAGTTCCCACTTGCCATTTGATGGTGGAGAGAGGCAGCCGCAGGAAGCCAGGGAACCTGGTCAGAGTTCCAGGAGAACTAGCACTTGCAGTTGCAGGGGAGAAGATGTCCTCCTTGGGTAAAGACCAGAGTACAGACCAGGAGAGCAATGATCATACTTCTCTCCAGATTGCACCACGGTGAAAGCACTAAAAATTTACAGACTCCCAAAACTAGCTCTGAAAACAGAAGCAGGAAAAAAGCCTGAAGTTTGTGACAGTGTGCTCCCCACCCCATCCCAGGAACAAAGCACAATTTTTAACATAAAGTTAAAAGTCAAGGCATAGAGTGGGAAAATGAGCAAACAAAAAAAAAATATGGTGACAGGGAAGATGAAGACACAAACTTAGAAAAAAGCAACATGAAAATAGCTGCAAGAAAAACAATCCTCAAAGAAAAATACTAATTACACATAAACCCAACAAGAATTCATGGAAATACCTAAGAAAAGAAATTATAATGATAGAGGAAAAAGTAGGAAAGAAATGAGTGATTCAAGAAAATTATGAAAAGAAAATTAATAGTTTGGTAAAAGAGGCACAATAATACTGAAGAAAATATCACTTTAAAAAACAGAATTGGCCAAATGTTATCAAAAATTCACTGAAGAAAATAAAATTCCTTAGAAAGCAGGATTGGCCAAATGGAAAAAGAGGTATAATATTACAATGAAAAAAGAATAATTCCTTAAAAATTAGAATTGGGCAAATGGAAGCTAATGACTCCATAAGAAATCAAGAAACAATAAAATAAAGTCAAAAGAATTAAAAAAGAACATGTGAAATATCTCACAAAACAGATATAAAGGACTAGGAGAGTAAGGAATAGTTTACCAGTTATATTTATGGAGAATAGAAGGATTTATGACCAAACAAGAGATAGAGAACATTATAAAATGCAAAATGGATAATTTTGATTACATTAAATTGAAAAGTTTTTGCACAGACAAAGCCAATGCAACCAAGATTAGGAGGGAAGCAGAAAATTGGGAAAGAATTTTTACAACCAGTGTCTCTGATAAAGGCCTCATTTCTAAAACATATAGAGAAGTGAGCCAAATTTATTAGATTTATACGTCATTTCCCAATTGATAAATGGTCAAAGTATATGAATACACAGTTTTCAGATGAAGAAATTAAAGCTGTCTATAGTCATTTAAAAAAATGCTCTGAATCACTATTGACTACAGAAATGCAAATCAAAACAACTTTGAGGTACCACATGACACCTATTAGATTGGCTAACATGACAAAACAGGAAAATGGTAAATGTTGCAGACGTGAAAAAATTGGAGCACTAATGCATTGTTGGTGGAGTTGTGAACTGATCCAACCATTCTGGAGAGCAATTTGAAACTATGGCCAAAGGGCTCTAAAACTGCATATACTTTGACCCAGCAAAATACCACTTCTAGGTCTGTATCTAAAGAGATCATACAAATGGGAAAAGGACCAACATGCACAAAAATATTTATAGCAGCTTTTTTTTTGTCATGGCCAAGAATTGGAAACTGAGGGGATGACCATCAGTTGGGGAATGGCTGAACAAGTTGTGGTACATGAATGTAATGGAATAGTATTGTGCTGTAAGAAATGATGAGCAGACAGACTTTGGAAAAACCTGGAAAAACCTGATCTGATGTTGAATGAAAGCAGAACCGGGAGGACATTGTACATGGTAACAGCCACATTGTGTGATGACTAACTTTGATAGACTTATCTCTTCTTAACAATGAAAGGACTTAAGAAAACTCCAAAAGACTTATGATGGAAAATGCTGTCCACATCCAGAAAAAGAACTATGGAGTCTGAATGCAGATTGAAACGTATTATTTGTTTTCTCTCTCTTTTTTGTTTCTTCTTTCTTGTGGTTTCTCTCAATCATTCTAATTCTTCTTTACATGACTAATGTAAAAATTGGTTTAATATAAATGTATATGATGAGCTTATGTCAATTTACATGCCATCTTGAGGTGGAGGGAGGGTAGAGATGGGGAGAAAATTAGAACTCAAAATCTTATGAAAGTCATTTTGGAAAACTAAAAATAAATAAATAAATTTACTAATTAAAAAAGAAACAAAGTGAGTTCTCATAGATTAGGGACTGGTTAAACACATCATTATTCATAAGTGCAAGAGAATATTATTGTGCTGTAATGAACAATAAGTGTGAATATTTCAGAGTAAGATATGGGAACTTTATAAACAGATGTGGAGTGAAGTAAACAGTCAGGAAACCAATATAAACAATGATTTCATGTATGCACATTAAAAATAAAACAATAACAATAAATAGTCTGATGGTAGGTCTGCCTGTCTCAAGTCTTTCCCCACTACAATCCATCCTCCATTCGGCTACCACATTTTTCTAAAGCATAGCTCCAAATATGTTATCTCTTACTCAATTAAATCAAGGGACTCCCTATTGCCTCCAGGATCAAATACGAAATTATCTGTCTGTTATTTAAATACCTTCGTAATCTAGGTACACACACACACATACAGAGAGAGAGAGAGAGAGAGAGAGAGAGAGAGAGTCACATCTTTCTAATCTTCTTATACCTTATTCTCCACCATGTACTCTTAAACTATTGATAGTGAACAAGATACTCTACCTCTCAGTTCTGGGCATTTTCTCAGCATATAATAAGCATATAATTGTCTCAGCATATAATAATAATAATAATAATAACACAATAATTTTTTTTCTGGGCCTGTTATGATTTCACCTTTTGCATTTCCAATTCTGCTCATTTGATTTGTTGTCCTCTAAAGGTTGCCTGGCAAAAGGTTATTTTATTAGT